AAACCCGAGCCGTGCCGTACTGAGCCGTGCCGAGCCGAGTCGAACCACGCAGTGGAAAAGTGCCATAGGAGTGAGCTGGAGGCTTTCGTCGAGTTCTGAAGATCGGAGAGTCCACAGCGAATTGACAGTTACTTGAAGATAAAAGCTGCCGGAAAGTCAGACTCCAGGGTGATGAGTCTTGGAGAGTGTGTCTCAAAGGGTTTGAGCCATGATTAGTTTGGATTAGGGATTTTTAATGCGTCTCCAGTCACACCCATCTTTGGCAGACTGACCAATGTAGAGGTGTGAATTTTGAGCGGGAGAGGTTCCTTTGTCTCACGCAACACCTTATTTGCATGGTTTAAGGCGGTCTGGAGGATTTGTCCAATATTAAGTCAAAGTATGGTAAAAAGAGCATGGCACAAATTATGGTGACATAATATACACCATTAATCCAGCAATCGGAAGACGGTCATTTTGATACCTGGCATGCCAGGGATTGGGAAACATTAAGGCAGTAATACCTTCATATGTCTAGATCCAAGTAATTGGAGCTTCACTACAGTACTACAGAGTTATAACTAAGCTACTATAACCTAGGAACATGCATACAACACAGGAATACACTATATACATTTTGGAGCAGTTTGATTATGAATAAATGAAGTCAATGTCCTTTCCTATGTGTATTGTGGCTTTTGAGTATGTCTGGGCTACGGTTAGTGGCTCCTCGTGGGGATGGGGGAATCGTTCCTTCCCCCTGGAATCTCTTTGAAGCTCAAAGAGAAAGTTGACGACTGTCCCTGCTAGCGTTGGAGAAGATAGCAGAGGTTATAATGCTCTTTGAACCAGAGGTGGACGTTAGACATGCATCTGTAACTGCATCTGTAATTTAGTTATAACAAGGGAGGAGAGAAAGTTTACGATGCCTAGAACCTGATCGAACATCTTGATTGCATTCAAACGCTACATAGTTTAGACTACATTTACTCAAAATAGTCGTGTTTTGTTCCTTAGTGTTTTTAACAAACCGGCTATAGCGAATGATTCAATGATTTGTTTTTCAACAAATCGGTTAAAGGATTCAAACGACTCATTGGTAAATATGGTTATTTGTCGCCATCTACTGGCAAAACTATGTAACTTGCAGAAAAATGGATAGGGGTCGGCAGTTTTACTTGCTCCTGTTCATGCAAATGTTAATATATAAACGTGCTGGTTTCTTATAAACTTAAGCTGAGCAGTGTATTAAGTTTTAATCGAATAAAACTGTAGGACACATCCCTCATCATCTGTTACATCAGAGTCTTGGTCATTATGACGCGACATTCTTTAGAATGTTCCATGAGTGTAAATTTGAGTGCAAACAAGATTGGAATTTGTAGTGAGTTGGTGAGTGATTGTGAGTAAACACTTCACCTTGGATTTGGGGATTTTTCATCTAATCAGTATTTTCAATATTTTTAGCAGGGGGATATTATTGTCTCAATTTATGTATTGTGTAATTATGTACTGTACAATGAAATTGAAAATAAATAAGCATAGTGGTGGTGCGTGAGGAATTTGTCAGAGAGGCTGATAAATTAATAATTATGCTCCCATGCACAGATGATATCCTCCGATACCTTAAAATAGTCAAGATAATTAATGATGCATTATAAAATCTCTCCTATCACAACTTGTCAATAGTCGAGGTCTATTCTGTAAATCTATAACTGTCTATTTGTACACTATCCTTACTTAATATATTTAATATAATAATAAAGAAAAAAATAAAACGTGCCTATAGACAACCGCGTGTATAAGAAAAATAATCTGTTTTTACATTATATGCATCACAATATATGCATCTCTGTTATGCATATTCATTGGTACAATTATTACAACACAAATTAATCTGCTGTGTTGCTGTGAACATTTTAAATACATTTTTGCGAAGACTCATCCTCCTTTGCTTCCTCTGATGAACCACCACTGGGCATAGCCTAGCCTTAAAAAAAATGAACCAGCTTTTATTTGTTCACCTCTTCTCTCTCTCTTACAGTGTTTCACAGATACAGTTAATTGTTTCAAAAAAACGTTTGAAATTATACACTTTTTTGGATAACTTGTCTTACTTCCATCAAAGATGCTTATTCAAAAAACAGAAACCTTCATCCCCTTGCAGGGCGGTGGTGGGCAGTAATGGAGATCAAAGACCACTTACGCTCCTCATGTGAAAAGGGTGAGTGTGGGGACCTCCCTACAGACCAGGAAATAGAGGCCCCACAAGGAGCACCTGTTCCTGTGAGCTCCCAACAGGAAGTGCCTGTGTCTTCCAGGACCCCAAAAGGACCAACTGTTCCGGACGAGTCTCAATGGGAAGTGCCTGTGCTTTCCAGGAACCTGCAAGGAGCAACTGTTCCTGATGGGTTCCAACAGGGAGCAACTGTGCCTGCAAGGCCCCCACTGAGCAGAAAACTAAGGGTCCCTGAAAATATGAGGCAGTATGTGACAAGGAATGTCATCTTAATGCCTTTGCCCCTAAGGCAACCAATGGGACGACCTACATCTTCCAGGGCACCTGTTCCCACCGCATCCCCTGAGCAACCTGTGTCTGTTGCATCCCCAGAGGATGCACTTGATCTGGCCAGGACTCCTAAGGATGCACCTATGCCTGGTGCATCCCCTGAGGGAGTACCTCTTCCAGCCAGGTTCTCTGAGGGAGCACCTCTTCCAGCCAGGTCACCTCTGAAGGCATCTGTGCTTGCTGCATACCCTGAGGAGGGACCTGTACTCACCACCTCCCCTGAGGGAGCACCTCTTCCAGCCAGGTCCTCTGAGGGAGCACATGTGCCTGCAGCGTCCTTAGAGGAAGCACCTGTTCCAGCCAGGTCACCTCTGAAGGCATTTGTGCCTGCTGCATACCCCGAGGAGTCACCTTTACTCACCACCTCCCCTGAGGGAGCAACTCATCTGGCCAGGTCCCCTGAGAGAGCACCTGTACCCGCTGGGTCCCCTGAGGAGGGAGCACCTCTTCTGGACAGGTCCTCCAAGGGATAAATGCATTGTCAGCTGGTTTATTTAGCTACTTTTCAGTACACCACATTAAGTACGCCACTTAGTAATCAGCTACACCCGTCAGGTCCGTTGAGGGAGCACACAAACTTACCACACCCCCACAGGGGTCACCTTGGAAGAGGTCATTCCCATAGAGCAATGAAGCTTCAGTAAGTCCCTCTTATCACTTTAACTTTTCAGGTTTATTCAGGAATTGTAATATCCTGTATAATATATATAATGTATAATAATAATGTATATATTTTACATCTATTGTTTTATATTTCCATAAAAATTATGTCTTTAGATTTTGACTAAGAAGCTCTCAAGCTGCTTGTGCATTACATTATGATGTCTGTTCTTTCAACAGGACAATGTAGGTGTCACACTTGCCTAAGGCGAGGAGCAAGGAACAAGGAGACAAGGCGTAAACTCAAAACAGTACTTTTAATCCTTTAATCCAAGGGGTAACATGGAGCAGACAGGAACACAGGAGACTCAGGTGTAGACTTACAATCTCCGACAAAGACAGACAGTACAGACTGGGGCTAATAAACACAGGGAAATCAGGGGAACACAGGTGCATGGAATGACTAATTAACGGGGACACGGAACACATGGGGAGGAAAAACACAGCAAAACTAATCCAGGGGCGTGACATTACTCCCCCCTCCTGGAAGGCGCGTCCCGCACCGTAACAATTCCACCGGGGAGGGGGAAGCGGGCAGACAGAGTCCATGGGGGAGCCGATGGAGGGAGGAGCCAGGGAGGAGACAGGAGGGGCTTGGAGCAGGAGGAGTCCAGCTGGACCCAGGCCACAGCCATAATGACAGCCCACGGTGGAGCCGACGGAGGAGGAATGGCCGCCGACTCCAGGGGGCCGACCAATGGCAGCGGAGCAGGTGGTGGAGGAGCCCGAGGCAGAGAGCCGATGAGCCAGGGCGACGGGGAGGATCCGGAGGTCCTAGGCGGAGCCGATGGCACCTGCAACCGACGCGAAGATGTGGATCCGGGAGGCCATGGTGGAGCCGGAGCAACAGAGGACTGAGGTGGAGCCGAGGGGATGAAGGAGCCTGACGGAGCCGGAGGGACGGAGGGACGAGGCGAAGCCAGAGGAGTGGAGTCCCGAGGCGCAGGATGGTCGACGCCAGACCAAGGTGGAGCCGGAGGGACGAGGGAGCCCGGTGGAGCTAGTGGACTGCCGAGCCACGGCGGAGAGGAGGGAGCTAGGAGCCATGGTGGAGCCGACGGGTCCACAGGCCGAGGCGGAGTCCGGGGCTTAGAGGCTGGAGGCGGAGTCAAGGGAAACTCCAGCCACAGCGACACTGGAGGATGGCAGTCCCGCGGAGCTCAGCATCATTCATGTTTCCCAGCAGGTCTTGAAAAGCTTTAGTTTTACACGGAACACATGGGGAGGAAAAACACAGCAAAACCAATCCAGGGGAGTGACAGTAGGCATGGTTCAGCTTCCTCCACTGAAAAAAACAATGTATGGAGAAAGACTCTTCAAGTTTTCAGCACACTATGAAGAGGCTGTGCCCATGGACCACTAGAGATTCGGTAAATCTCTTTTATCTATTATTTATAAAAAAAACTTTATTTTAAATATTTTATATTATATTTTAATATATGAGGAGTTATGTCTTAAGATTTTGTCTAAAAGCTCTCATTAAACCTACATGTGCATTACATGTCTGTTTTTTCAACAGGACAATGGAGATGTGGTTCAGCCTCCTCCACATAAGAAACGATGTGTGAGAAAAGCCCCAGAACCTCTGAAAGTTACGCTTTGAAGGCCAGTACCTAAAGAGCACACCTGTAAAGGTTGGTTCCTTCTGTCTCTCATTTTTACATTTCATACTTATAAAAAAAAATAAAACCAAAGTAAGCCACTGGATCTTTTCTGGATCTGCTATTTAAATTCTTTGTATTATATTTCGGTACACACTTTAATGTGTGACAACCTGTGTTTTTTGCTTTCTCAACAGGATGTGCATGTCAGTGATATCCACATAAACAGCAGAGCATCAAATGAAATAAGGAACAAAACTTCACCTTTGCACTTTGCTACTGTTACTGTGTTTTTTGATAATGAATGAAACAATAAACAATTTGGTGTCTTCCATCTGAAATACCGGTTCCTTTTATAAAGCATTGAAACAGAAAAAAATAGTTTTACTATTTCAGAATTTTATTGAATGAAGCATCACAAACATCATCAGAAAATGGTTTAGAACACTGAGAAAGATTTATGCCCTGAACAATAACGTTTTGTCACTGCCCATTAAGCTTTTCTTTCTTGGGATGCTTACAATTTGAATGTGTCCTTTTCCTCAGTGACATAAGGGCAATAAACGTGATGATGAAAACCCCACTATCCATCCAGCCAGCCATTTTCACACTGCTTTACAACCCAACTAGAATATTGCAATGTTAACATTGTGTTAACGTAACTTTTTATAACATAGCCTGTCTACTTTCAGGCAGCTTCTTGTGCATTATATTGGTGAACATGTTTTCACTGTAAATATTTAAAGGGGTCATATGACGTTGCTAAAAAGAACATTATGTTGTGTATTTGATGTAATGCAATGTGTTTATGCGGTTTAAGGTTCAAAAAACACATTATTTTCCACATACTGTACTGAAACGCGTCGATTTTTACAAAGCTCATCGTTCTGCAAAGCGAGGTGTACGCTGATTGGCCAGCTATCCAGTGTGTTGTGATTGGCTGAATACCTCAAGCGTGTGACGGAAATGTTACGCCCCTTAACATACTGTGACGCCGTCTCCCGGCACGGCGAGACAAAACCAATAAAACCCATTACAAACGAGGCATTTGTTGCATCCAGTGGGGACATAATTACTGATTATAATGACTTGTACTGTGCGTATCGCGCCGTGTAAACATAAAACCGTGTCTGCACTTGTGATCTGAGAAATGACAAACAACAAGCGCTACTCTACACTGCTCAAAACTCGCGTTTGAATCATCAGTGTCAAATTCTTTAAATATAAAAAATGTACTTACAGGCTGTGAGTCAGAAGCGTCAGCCTGTCCTTGCAAAGTTGGAACTGCCCCACTTTATAGAACAGCCTTTGAGCACAGAGCCATTGTAGGCTACTCTGCAGGTTCAGGAAACAGTCCTCCATAAAATGCGTCACACAGTGTCACACACTGCGGGCTAGAGTGAGTGGCGGCCGGCAGGCTTGAGAACGGTGCGGCTGGCGGGCTTGCTGCAACCACATGTGACGACCCGGGCTGGACTCTGCTTCGTCCGTGGTGAAAGCCGATACGGCGATCCACAGCGCGAAGTTGATGTATTTCCTCGGTGACAAGCACGGATCAGCTCTAGGCATGACAAAGCGGATGTCGTCCTCTTTTGGAAGGCCAAACAAAGTAGTTTCGCTTTCACAACGAAACACACAGCGCCTTCACGACATGGCGGCGGTGGCAACAACAATACTACAGCGAGAATAAAAGTTATGCCTTCTTTCTTTGCGTGAACATTTGGGCGGTGTTATGCAAATCTTCCCACACAGTGACGTAGACATGTGGGGGCGTGTTTAAACGAGGCATTTTAGGAGGGCGTGCACAAGTCTTAATTTTATAAAGAATATCTCTTTGGATTTGAGACTTTAGTCTTTGCAACTTTACAGATCTTCTTTATGCACCAAGAGCTTGTAACACTCCAAAGAGAAAGGGAAAAATGAAATTGCATCATATGACCCCTTTAATAATTATTTATGTCAATAATTTTGACAATATATGCATCTATAATTTTACTACATGTGATTTCTTTCCCAGCTGTTTCCCTTCACAGACATAACCGACTGTGTTTTCACAACTTATGTGTGTTTTTCACATACACTTGTGTGTATTTGACAGTTTAGGCACAGTAAGACATGAAAGAGAACTTAGTTTAGCACTCACATGTCGTGTGACAACCGCTTTCTGTGTGCATGCTTCCCTTATGTCAGAAGTTTAAACTAATATGATTTAAAAAGCATGATTTCAGAGATAGACATGATAATCAAAACCAAACGCAATTTTTAGCAGAGTATCTGAGTAAAGAGCCCTATTCTGGAAAAGGGGGTGGGGAGCAGCAGCTCATTTGCATTTAAAGATACATGCATGAAAAAGTGTGCTTGCTCTCAAAATAGGCATTTTCAAAATGATATAATAAACAATCTGTGGGGTATTTTGAGCTACACCTTAATAGATACATTCTGGGGACACCTGAGACTTATATTACATCTTGTAAAAAGGGGCATAATAGGTGCCCTTTAATGCTAAAAATTTTTCTATTCTAAACATGCACACTGGTCCAAATTGTCAAGCTGCTGAAATTTAACCCAAGAATAATTCATTAATTAGACCAAATCATCGATGTGATTTACAGTCAAGCATGTGGTAGTGATCAGACTGTTGGCCTCCATATCCAGAGATTTCCGTCAGTCGACTCTGCAACAATGTGATTGCAACTCTGCTATAATTGAACCCTCAACCTTGGCTCAAAATCAGGACATTTTACTGGAGGACAGCAGTTGAATCTGCACAAGATTGGCAGATTCTTCAGAACTTTCACAATATTTATTTAATCTACTGTCAAAATGAAGGCTCCTGTTTACCATCCTGACAGCTGACAGCTTTTGTGCTGTATTCATGTTTCTCTTGGATCGCAAAATCATTTTTCATTTTGCGCTAAGCACATTTTATTTTACTGTCTCTCATAAAGTTTTCTGGCCTGACTCATCTCTGGCCTTGTTAAAACTTCATCCACGCAGCCCACTGACGTGAATGAGCCTGCAATGCCAACTGAGAGGGCCGAACAAAAGGATATAAAAGAGGATACAGACAATTACATATACATATTCCTGTCTATGCACAGCTCCAGACCTTTATATGAATATCCATGCATATGAAGTACATGTCATTTTGATAAAGCAGGTGCGTTACAGTGCAGGTGCATGGTAATTAAACTGACATCTTAGTTTTGAACAGTGCAAACTCCATCATGCTGTGCTCATTAATTGCACACACACTAACAAACGGTATCAAATGCCCTTACTGACCCCATACACACAGAATTGCACAAAACTGGAAAACAGACAATAAAAGATCCGCAAATCATCTCTGCCATTATTTGCACCATTTATTTTTGAAGGAAACATAGAATTAGATTTTGATGAGTTCATGCTGATCACAGAGTGAATTACATTGACATTGAGTCTAACAAAGCTGTTGGAAATGTAAGAAAGAAATGCATGCAAGTTTGGAACAACATGAGGATAAGCAAATGATGTTTTGGTAAGCCTTTAAGAGCAATGGGAACGCAATATGATGAATATTTCTTGTCATGTCTTTAAAAAAGATATTTACCTGGACAAGTATCAAAAGATCTGGAAAAATGTTACAGAAGTCAATAATAAAAAATAAAAAAAATGTATGGGTTATATAGGGGATAGGATTGGTAACATTTTACCAAAATTGAGCAGATTACATCAATGAACCTCAAGTACTGAGAAGACCAAAGGACAGGTGTGCTCTATAAAGATTAAAGGGGTCATATGATGCGATTTCAATTTTTCCTTTCTCTTTGGAGTGTTACAAGCTCTTGGTGCATAAAGAAGATCTGTAAAGTTGCAAAGACTAAAGTCTCAAATCCAAAGAGATATTCTTTATAAACGTTAAGAGTCAGCCACACCTACCTAAAACGGCTCGTTCTAACATCTGGGAAGATTTGCATAATGCCGCCCAAATGTTCACGCAAATAAAGAAGGCGTAACTTTTATTCTCGCTGTAGTATTGTTGCCGTTGCCACCATGTCGTGAAGGTGCTGTGTGCTTCGTTGTGAAAGTTCTTTTTAGCAGCATCATATGACCCCTTTAACAAAGTGGAGATGTGAAGTGTTATTGAGCTGCAGATTGTGAATAGAGAAGTTTCAGCCCATAACAGTCACTTACATGAGGATGACTCAGAGTTCCCTTGATGTAAGGACCAGTGCTTACACAAGAGCTTCTTTGTTATGGACCCTCAGTGGAGGATTGACTCCACTTCTTAACATAATGACCCGATTCATTCAACATTATTATCTGGGTCTAGATTATATCTGTGATATAAAAAAAAAAAAAACCTTGTTATACTCTGTCCGGATTTACAAGACAAAAAAACACTGACTGTAACAACTGACGTAATGAAAACTGTATTAATGCACTTCATTATGCTGAACTGTTATATCCATAACACCCTGGAATGCTTTACATAAAGTGCTTTTATGTCACACAAACAAACTAAATACCCTACACTAACAGGATTTGCTTGGTTTAACCTGCTATAGAACTAACTGTAAAATCAGATGGAAAAAATAAAATGACTTTATATTTCAAGTATAGGCTACTTAAGACTAATATCATATCTAAAATTAGTTTTCTAAATAATACCTTTTGGCTTTTGACAATTTTAGGTTGTAGTCATTTAAGTCAACTGAAATTATTTTTGGTAAATTGTCTAAAACTTAAACCAAATTTAAACTGTAAAAAGCGATCAGTTGACTTTATTTTAAAAAACTGAGGAAACCTGCTGCCTTAAAATTAAGTAAATAAACTTCATGCATAATGAAAGAAATAAGTTAAGTGAACCTGACAATTCTGAGTTACACTGACAAATAACAGTTTGAAAATGTGTTGTGTTCACTTTTTATTTTAAGTTGGACTAATTTTATTAAATTGAAATTACTTAAAAGTGTGAATCTACTTAATTTAAAACTATTAAATTAATCTGAGTTCTGTCTGCTTAGTTAAATTGAGGAAACCCGTTGCCTTGAAAAAATTAAGCAACCACAACTTAATATGTGTAACTACAATTCACTTGTGACAGATTTGATCTTATTTTATCAATTTCTTTAAAGTTGAAAATTGTAAGCTACTAATACAATTCTCAAAAATACAAAATTGTTCAAAACAGACTGCACAAAAACATTTCTATGAAGAATTGTGAAGTCAACTCACCCTTATTTATATAT